CGGCGGTTCCAGCTGGCTCAGTACCGGTGCCTCCTGGTGAAGTACGCCAAGGACACGCGCTACTCCACCTCCGGCGTCTCCACGCACGATAAGTGAGTCCCTGGGGGCTCCCCTGGGGCTGGAGGGACCCCCACCCTGGGCATCGGGAGGTCTGGCTTCAACCTTGGGCTTGGGTGAGGGTGGTGGAGCTGCCCAGCAGAAAAGGACCTGGGGGTGTTGGTGTACAGCTGGCTGAACAGGAGCTAGCAGTGTGCCCAGGTGGCCAAGAAGGCCACCAGCATCCTGGCCTGTGTCAGGGCCAGCGTGGCCAGCAGGAGTAGGGAGGTCATCGTGCCACTGGTGAGGTCTCACCTCCAGGGCTGGGTTCAGTTCTGGGCCCCTCACTACAAAGAAGGACATTGACGTGGTGGAGCGTGTCCAGAGGAGAGCCACCAAGCTGGGGAGGGGTCTGGAGAACAAGTCCTACGAGGAGAGGCTGAGGGAACTGGGCATGTTTAGTTTGGAGGAGGCTGAGGGGAGACCTCATTGCCCTCTACAACTGCCTAAAAGGAGGGTGTGGAGAGGTGGGGGTTGGCCTCTTCTCCCAAGGGAATAACAACAGGAGCAGAGGAAATGGTCTGACATTGGGGCAGGGGAGGTTTAGATTAGATATTGGGAAGAATTACTTTCCTGAGAGGGTGGTCAGACACTGGAACAGCCTGCCCAGGGAGGTGGTGGAGTCACTGTCCCTGGAGGTATTTAAGAAACATGTAGACATGGCACTTCAGGGCATGCTCTAGTGGCCAAGGTTTTGGTTTGTGTCTGTTTGTGGGTGGGTGTGGTGGGTGGGTTTTTGGGGGCTTTTTTGTGGTTGGACTCGATGATCTCAAAGGTCTCTTCCAACCATGAATATTCTGTGATTCTGCCCATCTTTCCCCGCAGGAACACCATGGAGGCCCTGCCAGCCTGCCTCCTCATGGACACCTACCAGGAGGCGCTGCGCTCTGCCGTCATCGGTATCGATGAGGGCCAGTTTGTAAGTGGGTGGCCAGAGCAGATCCTGGGGAGATCTGCAGGACGCAGCCTCTTCTGAGCACCCTACGGGGAAGGAGGTCTGAATTCTCTGTGGGAGGTGGTGGGAAGAAATGCCCTTGGGACAGTTTGACCATACTGGTGTGGTAAATCCCTTCCCTCGGTCCCCACAGGCTGAGGACTCTCTTTGTGCCTTGTGCTGCTGGATCCTGAGCCAAGAGCTGCCTCTTCTTCCTCCTCACACTGTTTCTATCCTTCCTCCAGTTCCCAGATATCGTGGAGTTCTGCGAGATGATGGCCAACACTGGGAAAACCGTCATCGTTGCTGCTCTTGACGGGACTTTCCAGAGAAAGGTAACTCACTGTTGTCTTTAGTACAGCAGCTGCTTTGGGGTCTGTCGAGAACCATCCATCTGCTGTCTTGGCACAGGCTTTTGGGAGCATCCTCAACCTGGTCCCGCTGGCAGAGAGCGTGGTGAAGCTGAACGCCGTGTGCATGGAGTGCTACCGAGAAGCCTCCTACACCAAGAGGCTGGGAGCAGAGAGGGAGGTGAGTTCCTTCGGAGCAGAAAGCACCTCAAGTCGTTTCACCCTCTCGGTCCTGCCAGTCTGGAGGGATCCCCTCAAGGGGAACAGCTCTGTGGAGTCACTCTCCCCATTCTCTTGCCAGGTGGAAGTGATTGGAGGAGCAGACAAGTACCACTCTGTCTGCAGAGCCTGCTATTTCCACAAGCGGCCTCAGCAGGCTGGGCTGGAAAACAAGGAGAACGTGCCCCTGGGGGTGAAGCAGCAGGCGGTGGCTGCCTCCCGGAAGATCTTTACTTCTTGATTGCTGGGTCTCCCGCACGGGGTGTTGGGGGGGCGGAAAAAATGGGAGGAAGGAAGCGACGTGCTGCAGCTCCCAGACGCCAGATCTGGCTTCCCCTGCTTTTAGCAAACTGGTAATTATCTTAGCTCTACCTGCCAAGCCACGCCGCTGTTCCCCTGCACCGCGCGCCCGGAAAGAGGAGGATCAACTCGACCTGATGCCGGGGGGGGGAAAGTTGAAGCAGGAGCTTGACTTAAAAGTGAGTTCCTTTCTCAGAACATGGAAGGTGTAGTTACACATAGTTACTGATGCTGCCGCACAAACAGGTTCTGGAAAACCACCCCAGCAAGCCAGGCTGCAGGGCTTCCATCGCCCGCCGACCTTCTTGCCTGGTCTTCTCCCCATGCTTGGAGTCCAGACCAGCACTGGTTCACTGGCCTGTCAACACAACCGTTTCTTTCTCTCTTGCACAGTTGCTAAATTCAAGGTTTCTTAAGACAATGTACAGTAAGTTAGTATTTTAAGCTCACTTCCTTTTTTTTGGTTTTTTTTTAACACAGTCTGAAGAGAGAACCTGTTACTTGCCATAGAGCCGTGGCACAACTTTTTGACTGACAGAGGCAGCGGCCGCCTGGCCCTTGACAGTCCCTTTGGACGACTCTGCACGATCACTTGCTGTAACTGTCTTTTATTTTTTTTTTTTGTTAAAACAGGGATGGGGGGAAAGAAGGCTTGTCTTGACAGCCTGACAGTGGGCTCTTCTGAGCTTTTGAGCTTTAAAAGGGCTGGCAGCGGACAGGAGTAGTCTGTGTATTAAGACAAGAGTCTTTTTGGAAGAACTAGAGCACTTCAGGAAAAGCCTCCTCTCCAAAATCAGGGTGGTTTTGCTCAGGTCCAAGCTTGGTGCTGCCACTTCAGGGCTTGGTTACCTGTGAAAGGTTTGGAGGTTCAGGACTTACTCTGTAAAGGTTTGGGATACTGTTTCTGTGAAGATCCAGCTCCTTGGAGAAGAGTCTCTGCTTTGAGTGGGTGGTTCTCAACTCCAGTCATGCATCTTGCTCCCTCCTGAGCCTTCTAGAAATTCTCGAGGTTGATTCTTCCTCTGCTGTAGGTTGACTGAAGGATCCTCTTCCCCCTTTGCTTGCCTTGCCTTCTGGAAGATTGTGGGTGGTTTTTTTCCTTACTCCTTGCAAAAGTGCTTTCCCCTCTAAGCCAGCCTCCATGAGCTCCAGGCGGCAGCTCTGGGTTCTGGCCAGGTCACATCTCCACGTGTGAATGCAGCGTGCTCACTTTGTTTTCTCCTTCCAGCTGGGAGGAGACACCTCCTGAGAAGGTTACAAGAGCCCTTTGAAAAACCCTGCTCTGTGTTATGTGACGCAGTGAGAGTTGTCATACTCCAGAGCATTTCACTGCCAGGCCTGGGCTTTCCCCTCGGAGCTGGGGGAAAAAAGGCAGCGCTGCTACTGGTTGAGGTTAATAAACAACTTAATGAAATTATCTATGTTTGTTTTCATATCAGACCTCTCTGAGAAGGCTTCCCCACTGGTACCGGTGCGCAAACGGTGCAGGCTGGTCACTCCCAGCCCCAACGGCTCGGCTGGTGGCAGGAGTGGTGTTGGAGCTTCCCCCTGCTCAGACCTTCCACCAAACAGACTCCCAGCAGCGGGAGGAGGGATCACCTAAAAATAGCCGCCAGCGTGAGTGTGCTGTTTGCAGCCCGAAAGTTGGCTGGGGCTGCTCTGCTGCTTCCCTGCCTGGGAACCCCCCAGGCCTTCCAGGAGAGAAGAGGAGGAGGAGGAGGAACAACAACAGGAACGCTCTTTTCCTTCCCCAGAGAAGAGAAGTCACGTGGTGAGCTCGGTGAAAAAGTTTATTCCTTCTCCACAGTGACAAACAAAGACCTATTTGAAGGCCAGCCCCAGCAGCCACAGCTCGCACACCGCACGCTGCTGCTGGGAACAGCTTCACAGCAAGGGCAGCAGAAAACACAACCTGAGAGAGCCGCCGGGAACGCCGGCACGGGCAGGACACGGGATGGCAGCCACGATTCCGCAGCCACAGTGCTTGGTGGGAGGCAAAGGAGGGGGGGGCTGAGTACCAAGTCAGCAGGAAAAAGCATTCCGGGACCTTCCTGGGACACTTGGAGCAGCCCCAACCCCACCAAGACAGAGATAGATAGATATCTCACCGCTCCCACAGATCTCAAACCGCATCCTCCGAGCACCAGCAGCTCGAGGGAGAAGGCACAGGGCAGGGGGGTACAGTCTAAAGGAGAGAGGGCTTTGGCATCAAGCTCACCCAGCAGCAGCCGAGCGGGAAGGCACAGGGAGCTGGCACTCGAGGGGCTACCACCAGCAGGGCTGGAAAAGGCACCGGGGGCCAGGGCAGCAGTCACCAGGACGGAGCTTGTTGGGGGGGTGCAAACCATCACCCACCCACCCACCCTGCTGCTCCCCCAAGGCACAACAGCGAGGGCAGGAGCTGGGGGTGGGGGGGGCAGCAAAGGGCAGTTGCAAATCACCCAGCAAAATCCCCCACCACGTGCCAAAAATCCCCCACCACACACAAACACACATATATACACACACACATATCAGGCTCTGGGTCCCCTCCTGCGCCCCAGCACCGGGGACCCGGTGGCTTCACACAAAGCAGCTGCCACCCTCCTGCCCCCACTTTTGAGGGGCAGGTTCTCCCCCCCCCACCCCCACCACCATCTCCTGCCCCACTGAAGAGGATTGCACGGGCAGGGGCTCAGTACACCGGCGGGGGCTGGTAGCCCTCCGGTCCTTCTGCCGTGTGGGTGAAGGGCGGCTGCTGGTAGCTGTCATGGCTGATGTTGGGGTAGCTGGAGTAGGGAGTGGGAACCTCCCCGCTGGGGTCCATGTAGCTCTGAGCAAAGTCTCCCACCCCCATCTTGTACCTCCTGTAGGCGAAGGTGATGAGGAGACCCTGGAGAGAGGACAAGGTGGTGTCAGGGAGGGGAGGTTACATGGCCCCGGGGAGCCCCTTCATGCTCCCCTCACCCCCCAAGCCCTGAGCTCCACCACGGCTTCACTCACCCAGGAGAAGATGGAGAAGAAGCTGAAGGTGATGGCAGCCCGGGCCGAGTCAGCCCCGATGTGCACGTCCTCTGCCCGCGTCCAGGCCCACTGGTTGGTCAAGAAACAAAAGCCAACGAACCACAGGAAGGTCCAGAGACCTAGGCAGGAAGGAGGAAGGTGGGGTGAGGAAGATGGGGAGGAGGGAGGCGGGATGGGGAGAGGGGAACCGGGGCCGTGTCCGTCTCTGCTGCTCCCACGGGGGGGGTTGCTGCTGCCCCGTGGCTCCTCGGAGAGCGCGTGGCCCCACGGGCAGCACGCCAGGCGGGAGCGACTCCCTTCGCCAGGCACCGGCAGCCACGTCACGGGACAAGGGCAGCCATTGTAGGAACGGCAAGAAGGCAACAACAGCCTTGACCCACCCCACACCTTCCCTCCCCCAACGCCATGGTGGCCACCTGGGTTACCTGAGAAGCCGAGATCCGCCAAGACCAAGTACTTGCGGTCGGTGGTGTTGCTGATCTGGGGGAAGTAGACGTCCACCATGAAGAAGAAGATGCAGGCGAGGAAGGCCAGGACGCCGATGCCGATGCCGTAGCGGCAGGCGTCCTCGTTGTGGTTGAAGATGCAGGAGAGCTGGGAGGTGCTGGGGGGGTTGCTGTAACCCTCCCCGACCAGGCAGGAGAAGACGATCAAGGCGAAGACCTACGGAAGGGTTGGGAGTCGGTTGAGCAGTTGGGTGGCACCGGGGACCCTTCCTCGGGATGGGATGGGATGGGGTGGGGGGC